GGAGTAATAGGTGCTGGAGTCCACGCTCCGCTTCCGATCCGTGGCGCGGCGGCCCTTCCCTCCCCCCTCCGGTGCCTTTTCTTTACCGCGGTGGAGCCTTTCTTCACGGCCTCCTGGGCGTATTCGACTTGGAAGAGGTGCCCGTCGGGGGAGAAAACGGTGATCGCCCGGTCGTAACTCATGACAGCGGCGAGGCGACGAAAGGCGCCGTCCGGACCTGAGAATGAGAGGAACCAGCAGCCGCGCGAAGCCGTCCCCTCAAAACCGCACCGTCACTTTTCCTCAGCGCGCATGCGCCGGCGCTTCCCGACGCCGCGCGCGGCACGCTATTCACGCAACGCTCATACGCCGACTCCGCCGCTTTTATCAGAGGCGCTACCCGCAAACGGGGGAGGAAAGAGAGGGGCCTACGTCAAGCACGTACTTGCAGCCGTAGACAGCTCGACCTATCCCCGTCGCCAACGCTCTTGGCCGGACACAACGGTGAACGGGATTGGCTAGCTGGCCAGCGCGTAACCCAGCCTGTCGGCCCAATACATAAGGAAGCGACTGGGCTTCCTCGTACTCTAATAGCTTAGGTAAGGTAACGGGCAAGCAGCCGGGAAGCTGGCTGGCGCTACGCATGTGACGTACGCGCGGGTCGGCCCGCTTCTTCTCTCCCCGACTTTCCACCTGCTGCTCCCACGCACTTGGCGTAACGCTGCCTCCTTTTCCTACGCACTTGGCGCACTGAGATGCTCTTATTGGCAAAATCAGGGAGAGATGCGATTCGCTCGCGACAGGAAACCCAACAACAGGGATGCACCATGTGCAAGGCGAAGGGGAGGAGGGGAAGGTGGATTTGGAGAAAGGGGGGGAGCGGAGGAGGCAAAGCCGCTCAGGTGGCTCGGCTGCCTCTCCCGTCGCGCCGCTCGGTCGCTGGCCCTCCGCCTTGCGCTGCGCGTAGAAGCGTCCAGGTAAAGGGGGTCCGCGGAGGGTCTTGGTGCAATGCCGCAGGCTCATTGCGAGGCGCAGATTGTACCATTTCCTCAGGCTCCCCTCCTCGTGCGCTGCGGCGAATGCTGCCCCTTTGCACGGCAATAGCGGCTGGATAATAATATTATTGCAGCCCGGGAGCCGCTGTATGACTGGCCCGTCTTCTAAAAAAGGCAAGCCAACGCCGCCCCGCCATGTCGGTTGCCTTTGCTTCTGCCCGCCCGCGGGGCAAGGGAGAGGTCACCCAGCAAACTATACAGAAGGTAATGAAAATAAGCAAATGGAGGGGAGGGGGGGGGG